TTAAGAAAGCCATATATTATTAAATGTACCATAAATACTGATCCTGTAAAGGTATGCATGAAAGTCCCACATAATTAGGGCACTATTAACTGATTATTACTGCCTGCAAATTTAGTATTGTATTATGAAACCAAGTCTAAATCCAGCAAATTTCAAGGTGTTGCTCTCTGGATTCAATTACAATTTTAAGTACTGTATATAGATCCAGAGACCTGCCAGACTGTGAAATTTTTCCTATAAAGCAGATGTAAGAGTAGGTATAAACACTTAAAAGTCATGGAACTATTTATGTTGTAATTTCAACAGTTCCATTCAGACATGGGCAGCACTGGCTGTTAGGTCTTTCTACACCATAATCATTTAGCACTTGGAATAAAGACATTATTGCACTTATGCTTTATATTCACCCTACTTGAAGTCTTAGCACTGATAGAAACCATCTTAAATCTCTGCCTTGTTGTAATGGTTCAAATGCATAAAGAAAATATTTCTGTGCCATACAAAATTAATTCTACCCAGAGCCTCAGAATAATAGGAGACAGACAGATGAAGTTCTATTCCCTGTTCCTTGCCCAGAAAAAGAAAGGCTGCAGAATAACTAACTAGGTAACTGGATACAGAGATATTTTTATCCCAGATTTTCTATCTGGATTTGATTCTAGAAAATGAGGAAACTTTAGGTGGGATTTTTGTTTCCATTTGACTTAGTAAGGAATTAGTGCTTCTGGTTTTGCATCTATTTACCATAGCATATAACTGTTCCACATAATTATGAAAGCAAATGCTTTTCAGACTCAAAGACACACCCAAAGGGGAGGATAAAGTTCAAATGATTCAATGATTCTTTTGCTTTATTTTCCAGGTTTTAAATATAGTGCAATGCCATGAAGCAAAGACCTCTCAGGCCAAGGGAGGAGAACATCTCTTTCTGGTTGCCCTCAGTCATGAGAGGGCCCAAAGCTCACATCTTCCTTGGCCACCTGAGTGCTGCATTGACCCAAAAAGAATACTAAAAGTCTGTACCCAAACTGAAATACTGATTTCCCCTTGATCTCAATGAGACTTTAGACTCTGCTCTCAACCATGTTTATGGAAGAAATGCTTTTGGGCTTCTCCAAAACAAGGAGTAGATGGGAGTACAGAACTAGGAGTACAGAACTTGACAGCCACATAAAAACAATGGGAAATGGAGGAGAGAAAAAGATCCTCAAATATTCATGCACTGGTCATTTTAGCCAGTGGAGAAAAAACATCATGAGACTTCATGGAGTTGTCAGTGAGTTAATAGGGTTTAAAATTGTTCCCTTACACATTCATACAAATGCTGCAGCAAATTCATGGAAGAGAATTTACTGCATTATTTTCTTTTGCAACATCACAAGATTCTGAGAACAGTCTTCCTATATTTAAAATGACAAAATGTGTTAAATAATATTTAAGTAGATGCTTTCTGTTCCAAGTTTACTAATTTTCAATTAGTGATTAAAATTGTTTTCAGCTGAGAACCTGACAAAGCTTGAAGCTCTGCTAATATCTCTAATCTCATCATAATTCCATTTTTTGATGTGCTAAGGCATTTTAGCAGCATTTACAAGATTAATCTTCATGGAATTTTCTGTTAGTTATTGCTGGAATTTTCCACTAGAAAGAAAGTAGGACAGTTTTATTTAAGAAAAGATCATTAGTGGTACTGTCTTCTGGGAGCAGACCTGAAGCCCTATCCTTACATGTAGTCACATTTATCTGTCTGCCTGCCTCCCCTACCCATGGCCTTTCATCCTTTTGAATTAGAACAAGGGACCTAGAGAAATACTTAAGTGCAGTATTTGTTTTTGGTTTCTGATAATGCATTTGGATCTCATAGCAGGAGCAATAACAAAGAATAAAAGCATTATTCTGGTATAACTGACATCAAAAAGATATTTTGAGACTTAAAAGCCTTTCTCCTGAAATAGGGCATCTTAAAAAAATAAAATGATTGCAACTGTATAATAGTTCTCATTGTAAGCAAACACTTTCTTGGTACTATTCCTTTTAAATACCTATTTCTGCTACATGATGAAAAGCTGGGCTTTTATATGAGATTTGTAGATTTATTTACTCTTGTGGATTAATTATTCCCATTTTGGCACTTCACATGGCAGAGTTGCCTTGAATGAATCACAGAAATTGGAAAGTACTGAATGTAAGTCTCATGAATGAGAAAAATTATGTATATAGCACAAACTCATTTCTAATGCGTGAGAATCAGCTCCTTAAGATTGCACCTATGGCCTCATAAAAAGAAGGAAATAGATGTTAACAACTAGTCATATAAATAAAATATAGTGGGTTATAAAAATAGCATCTACTAGATTTACATTTAAAGTAGCAGAAGATACTAAGTAAACACGGGGAAATATTTTTGGGGTTTTTTTCCCTTCTGCTGAGGAGGACAGAGACTCATAAAAAACCCAGTAAAATGAAAGCATTCCTTCTTTCAGGGAAACAGTCCAGAAGATGATTTTTAGTCTTTTGATGGTCATAATTTCCTAGTTCACACAAAAAAATCAGGCTAATTTACATCAAAAAACTCAATTGCTTAATTTAAGCTACTTTGAGGATTTAACTGGAGCCATTTTATTCCCTTTCCTAATAACTGCAGCACAATTTTATTTTAATGCATTATCAGAAGGAAGATGATTTTTAATCAGTTGTTAGGCAGAATATATCTCCAATAATATGTAATTAAGTGCTGTTTTCCCTGTTTACATGGTGTATATATATATATATATGTATATTTAAAGCTATCTTTTGCAAAGATATAAATGGTTTGGAGAAAGGAAGAAAACATGAGTTGGTGTTTATGTCTTACAAGTTGTATTCACTCTCCATTTTTAGAGATTTTCACTGACAAACTTTTAAAGTCTTCACAGTTGTATAAAGATTTCTTTCCTTTCTACAAGAGAAAAAATACTTATGCTGCAACTAATTATAAACTATTTGCTGTTATCTAACATTAGAGCAGCTATAACTGAAATTGGTACTTTGCTAACCAGGTAATTGAGGCAAACAAAAACTTCAGAATTTACCTCAATTTGAGCTATTGCCTTTTCCACCACTGCCCACCCCAGTATCACAATGCAGGAAAAACATAAATGATAAGAAAGATGGCAGGGCAATACATAGATAATAGGGAAAATTATGTACATTAAAAAAAAACCAAACTATCAAGCAGTTCAAAGGTGAGATTTATAAATATATAAACCAGCTTTGGAGAGGATAAAGAAGGTGTAATGCAAAGGCAGTGAATTTCAAGTGCATGGCATGCATAATTTCTAGGCACACTGACACTGCAAATATGTAGGGTATTGCATTTTCAATAGCCTTGCTTTCTAGAATAACAAATCCAACAAAGACATTCAAAGCTCTAATGCATTAAAGCCTACATATGGAAATCTTTTACATTTTTCATACTGAAACATTTCAGGCTGAAAAGAGGAAAAAAGATTAGATTTTTTTTTTCCCCATACATGTTTCTTAAAAGACAATTTACAAGGCTGTGTTAATACATTAAATATTTTTAGAAGAGTTGAGTAGAATATGGAGTTGAATATTAACTAAAAGCTGCTCCCCAGACACCATGTCCTTGCTGAACAAGGCAGGACTCTTGATGCTGGGCCTTTGCAGAAGAATTCCCAGTGGAAACCTCTCCTGCTGCTTTTTGCAACAGCTGTGCTGAGCAGGGTTATCTGAGATGGAGCTGTGGATTAGCACATGAAAGATACACATGTTTTTGTGAAAATACTTAGCTGCCTCTTTCAGAGAATTCTTTCCTTGCTGATTTCCTATGATAAGAGCTTCCCCAGAGTCTCTTCTTCTTAGGAGAGGAACCAACTCCAAAGAATAAGAAAATGGCAGCACCAGAGGCACATCCTTCTGAGAGACTCTGAGAATCTCCTTTAACATCAGTTTTTTGCTAGATAAAGTAAAATGTTCTCATGGAATATCTGAGGGCTTAACAACTTAAATTAGATGGCATCCCATTGAGTAAGAGAGGCAGGACTGGCTACAAAACCTTTAGCTTTTAGGCCTTCTTTCCAGTGGAATGATATTATATTTGCATAAAACAGAGCTAGAGAAGTCACTACAGAAAATAAACAGAATTTTATAAAAGAGAAACATGACTAAAGCTGGAAATGAAAACAACTACTTTTTTTCCACTGAATACAGAACACCATGCAGCACAGTCACATGAATCAGTTACTTGCTCAAACTGCACTTGAAACCATGTGGTTGTTGCTTCCACAGGCATATAACATGGCAAAGAACAACAAAAACTTCCTAAAATAGTTCCAAAACTTGCTTCAGCTGAAGAGAAAACGTAGAAGAAAATTATTTCACATAGAGAAACAAGGCCCACTAGAGCTTCCTCATCTGGTAAATTCAAGGCATTTCTGCTCTATTGTGAAATTTCCACTTGCTATATGATAAGGTAATTTAACTCTGGGCAAATTTCTTTATACAGATCAATAGAGCCAGATACATTTTTAATAAAATCTTACCAACTCTCAGCTCTATCCCTCCCTCTGCCAAATGAAGAAATTAAAAATACTGAGTACTACATCTGCTCTTTTTCCCGTCACTTGCTGTCCATAGTACATAACCCATCTTTAGGTTGAAAAAGCATTGAATTATTAATGTGTATTTTGGTAGAAAAAATAAAATTTTTTTTCATATTTAATGATGTGTCTCAGGGGAAGGATTATATAATGCTCAAAAATGTAACCTGGAGGGAAATAGTGCCTTTATATCTTATTAACCTAAGACCATTACTCCAATAAAAGGCCATCTCTATCCTCAGGCAATATCATATAAGCATCATTTTTTTTTTTAATTAGTGATCCAAAATCATTTATAGATAATTAGAAAGATTGTTACTGACTCTTCAATAGATACACACTTTAGATTGGATATGAAGCTTTGGGTTTCCCATTCAGTAAAGGTGATAACACACTTACTTTTCTGTCTGGCCAGTTGTATTTTGCAAATATGGTATCATATGTGTCCACAGCTCCATCAGTGATCAGCATTATGGCTTGGCTGCAAATGCTTCCTTGTCCTGTGTGATTGAACTGCAAAAGGAAACAACCATTAGGAACAGCACATTCCTGTTACATGAAAACAGACAGGATCACACATGGATTTTGTCACATCTCTAGCATCCTTAGAAGAAGTCAAAAATATTCAGGCTGAAAACATTTTTTCATAGATTTTATGTTCTTGGTGAACTGAAAAATAAGAAACATGCATAAATGTAGCACTACCCAAAATTAAAATTGTATTCTCCTGGTTTAGATAGGTGATGAGTATTGATGCATCCATAGGGTTTGCTTTGATTTCAATATCATTTTAAAAGAACATGTTACAGAGAAAGTAATGAATGATGATTTTTCTGAGAAGTACAGGGAATACACAACTCCTGAGAGACATCTGACTATTCATATGGCATTCATTCATATTCGCTCAGGATTCCATTCCATATGCTATTTTCCTTTAAATATTTATCTGGGAGAACCCAGTTCATATTTATATACCCTGAGATTCTCCTATTACCCCAGATGAATACATGTAAGTAATTCAGGCTGCTGAAGTGCAGTACATGAGCACAGGTACTCAGACAGCAATCAGCAATCCTCTGGCATAAGCAAAGGCTGCTTCATCCTTATACAAATGGGATTTTCTCCTGTCAAAGAACAAACACATTGTCATCATATGAGCTTTGATCTCTTCATTCTGGAGTTGGTACTCTGACTCTGAATCCATGTGTCTCCATTTGCTTTGGTTGCAGAATAAGTTGTTATTTGTCTATTACCTTATGTGTTCAAGGAACTTTGGTGAAATATCCATCTCTTAGGACAAAAAATAACAAAGCTTTAAAATTATTTGATTTTTAATTTCTCTGTGTGAACACTTAAAAAATCTATGAAAACATCAATAAATGGGATATTACAATTATTTCCTTGTAGCTTTCACGTACATTATCACATTTGAGGTCAGGCAAGACCTCATCCTATCACCCTTCTCTTGATGGTGAGAAGGCCAAGCAAGAATTACCTTGTCCCACCTCACCAGCCTTGCTGTGCCCCAGAATAGGGTGGTGGTTCAATTTAAAAAGCAGTACCTGTGTTCATAGGGGAATTACCTGGCAGGGACTCTGACTGCTCCTGCAGTCATGAAAAATTATTCAGAGCATTCTGGTTTGATTTGAAGTACCAACAGTTCTGTCTTTTAATTTTTCCACAGTCTGTTTGCCCTTAACTGTTTTCCAAACTCTAAAACCCACTTTTTCTGAAAAAGTGATCCTAAAAATGTCATCTTTGTAGAAATGTCTGCAGTAGAAAAGGGTGGGTGGTGGGTCCCCAAAGTCCTCTGTCTTTTCTGCCTTCACATTTCTGGATCTGAGTGGCCACACCCACATTCAACAACCATTTCTATCACACCACCTGCATCCCTCCTCAAGATCAGCTTCCTTTTCATCCAACAGAAACCTCAGCAAACAGGACCAGAAGCAGTCTGCCTAAAAGGGCATCTAATGTGGATTTACAGAGTTAGCTGTATTGTGATCACTGCCTCTGTGTAATGTGCAAGGCAGTCACTCAAAATTCTCCCATCATGACAGGTTTTCCAGTCTTAACCAGAACCAGAATTATTCAAGTGGGATTCCTTCATGATCTTACAGACATTTTTTTCTCATAAAGGTGAAGTTACTTTGTCTAGGGATATATTCTTCACATGGACAATGTATTTTAAAAGTGACAAGGTATCTGAAAAGAGAAATTAATGAAGGGGAAATGCCTTTGTACATTTATTTTAAAACACCACTCTGTATGCATCTGCATTATTCTGCACAGTTATCTGAATATTTTGAAGAATGAGATTAAATTCAAATACTTTGATGAGTAATATCTTCTCATATTTGTCTAAAACTTTTAATTTTATTGAATAGCAAGAGTGATGAAAGTGTTTTCCATAATAATAACAATGACAAGGGGCTTATGATGAACTACAATTAACTCAGTGATTCATCAGTTAGCAGCAAAAATTTCAATGCATCCTGACATTTACAGCAGTTGGTTGTGATTAACAGTCTTTGAAATGTCACAGAATTTTATTTAATTGGTTATGATTTTTTTAAAGGTAATCACTTCAAAGAGCACATTTGTCACCAAAAGAGATAATTGCAGTTGTCACATGACATAGTAGGTGTCTGACTACTGTACCAAGCACTTCTGTATTCTTCCTCTCTACAATGTACACTGCCTAAATTGACAATTGGAAAGAATTTGGAAGTGGATTTTTAAACATGCTTTTCAAAGGTATCAGTAGCAAACATCTTCAAGTCTTGACAACCATAGCAAATATTGAAAGGTAATTGCAAGGCAAAATTGACTGAGTTTAATTAGTGTAACCCCTGAACCAATTTAAAATCCAACCAGAGTCTTTATAGACTATTTGTGTAACACAAAGCTTTCTCTATTTTTTTTCCTCTACTATACCACCACCCACTCCTTCCCCCTCCCCATTCAACCACTTTTTTTTTTTTTTAATGAAGAAAAGACATCCTTAGCTAACCTATAATTCAAATAGGCTTCTGGCACATAAAGGTCACATCCTGCAGACAAAGTGGAAAATGGTTTGCTGTACTCTGCTGAGGAGAAATTTAGCTTTTCCTCTGGCCTAGGTGGCTTTAATGGAACCAACCAGAGACATTGCAGATATGCCTGTATAAAATGGAAAATATTTTTATGCTGGCATTTCTGGATGTTTATACACAAGAAGGATTGAATCTATCTGAAACTTCATTTTAAAGTATAAATAGAAGCAATAAATAGAGCACCTTGAAGAGATCTGAGCATACACGTAGCAGAGTCCATCATGATCTTACAGATCTCATCATGGGTGCAGTTCAGCACATGGGGTGTCAGATCCCTTTAGTCTCAGAGCTATCAGATTATCTAATGAGAGTTTTATACCACATTCATCATTATAACTTCAGTTACCTCACAGATTTTAAACCAAAGCAAAACAGGTCTTGCTTCAGGTCTTCACTTCCTGCAATGTGATTTTTTTTTTTTCAGTTTACATACATTTGGAGGACTAGCCCAGAACATCTCTTGCACTGAGGCATTCATACTCTTTTTCTGGTTCCCAAGACTCTATTTGGTGGCCACAATTCTTAATAAGACCTCTACAAACAGCCTGCAGTGTCCTTTACTTCATGCACCTTTTCCCATTGTCGTTTTTGGCATGCACCACACGAAGGCATTAGTTCCACACTGTCTAACTGAACACATGAGCAGTGGGTGGAAGAAGATACTCCTTTTTTCATTTTAAGATTTTATGCCTGGAAAAGAATCAATCAATATTGCCCTTCAAGATGAATACACAGGAATTAGAACCATTAATTAATCTAGGATCACACAGCATAAAGGCAGGCACACTTGTCAAACTTTTTTTGAGAATATTTGGGTTTGAGCTCTTTTTTCCAAGTACATCCTTCAATCAAAAGACATTTTGCTATTTAGTTTAGATGACTTCTTTTCATCTTCCAGCAGACTAACACACTTCAGTATTTTTTCCACAAAATACATGATTATACCTCAGGAAACATTTTAAAACATTTTCAGGAATATAAACTCAGTTGAAAAAAGGGAAAACAAGAAGGAGGTGAAAAACAAAAAGGATCTGAAAAGCATGAACTTACTTCATTGAGCATGTTGAAAGCTTCATTTAAAGCAATGTCCAGCATTCCAATTCCTTTTGCAAAAAGTTTGTCAAGGTGTTCCCTGAAATGCTGAAACATGAACAGGAAGTTTTCATTTGTCAGGATGCTGTTACAACAGACCTGTTGATGATTAAGGATTTCTGAATACTTCAGACCAACTTCTTAGGCTTAAATGACCACAGACATTAATCAACAAAATAATTCCCAGTTAACCTTTTCTGACTCTTCAAGTAACACTAAACTAAGGATATCTTAGTACAATAATGATGCAAAGACATCATATTTTTCATACATTTTGGCTACTTATTCAATCCAATAATTTTGGTTTTGTTTTTTGTGTTTTTATTTAGAGATCTTCTTCATATTTTCTTTTCACTTTGTGTAGTAATTTTATATAATTTATAACGATTTTCCCTGCAGGTTTTTGGAATGTGATAGTTAATAAAAATTATTTTTTCTAACAATTAGCTTTGAGAGTACACACCTCTAAAAGATTATAGATTCTAATCATTAGGTCATTGAAGTATAAAAGCAGTTTATCACTCAATATTAATATTAGACTCATTAAAAACTGTTCTACACAAGAAGACAAGACAATTAATTTGTAAGAAGAAAATGAAGACCTGTGTGGTGGGAAACAGCAGGGGAGGCAATGCTTTGTGAACTGCTATTTCAGTCTTTACAATTGGCTAAAAAGTATAAAAGAACTGCAAAACAGAAAAGGGTATTTCAACCCAACTAGTAAAGAAAAAATGTCAGGGCAAGACACACGCCACTGTAATATTAGTTTAAAGAAAAAGAATACGTGATTTCAGAATGAGATAAAAATCACCTTAATTCCACTTTCAATAACTTGCAGAAACCAAACAGATCTCAAAAAGCAGGAGTCCCTTGCTCTTAATGAAGCAAAAACCATACTTCAACTTTACAACTTAAAGTGCTCTTTTTAGTAATAGAATGGTTTACCTCAGTCTCTTTTTGCTGTCATTTTGGAGCCCTCGTTTGACTGGGGTATCTGTCCAATGTGTGCACAAACATTCCTGGGCAACTGTATGCTTAATTCCCATGTGCAAATACCAGAATGTGCAATATCTAATTGCAGACTCATATACCTAATTGACATGCATAATCTTGGTAATTCTGAATGCAAATTAGGCACACAATTATGACAATCAGACATTGATGTCTGATTACAAAATTACAGGGTCAGAGCTGCAGAGAGTTGGGTGAGGAAGCACAGGAGTGTTCAGCTGGGGCGGGGTCTGCGATCACCCAGAAGGGTCTCAAAGACACGGGCTGAGGAGAATGAGGATACAAATCCACATGTGCAGCTAAGTCAGGATGAGGCCCTCCAGAACTTAAGTGAGAAGAAACCCAGGATGGTTTTTAATGTCCTTCACATTCTGTGTGTCATGGGACAGTCAGAACATTAAAATCACACCACTGCTGCATATGGCTTTGGCATAACTGAACAAGAAGACAGATTCATAACCAATTATCATGATTGAAGTTGGAATTTCTCTTATAATGAGGTTGTTGCAAGCATCTTTTGGTACACCCTAGTGTATTCCCCTTTTCTAGCCTCACAGTTAAATGAACAACTGCAGGGATTTGGGATCATACTTGGTTAGATGATTACCTTAAATTTTTATTCTTTGGGGATTAGGTAAAATTGTCTCTCAAAATGTGATAGCAACTTGAATTTTTGTTACTTCTTAGTTTCCTACTTTTGATTTACTAGGATTTAAGAGTTAATTAATTCAAATAATTCAAGTTAAGCAATTTATTTCAGCAAATCTGTGCTTGGGAGTTGACACATATTCAGAGCCCTTTTCAGGATTCAGAACACAGGCAAAGTTAGGGAGGTAGAAAGGGCAATCTGAATACAGGCAAGAATTTGATTTTCCTTTCCCAATTCCGGGTCATTGCAGGCAATTTAAAAACTCTTCTGAGATGAAGGCCAGAAACTGAATTCTTCCTTCATGGCAGGAGCTGTCAAACTTGTAGCCAAAATGAGACACTGATTTATCTAGCCCATACAAAAGATGAAGAATGATTTGCTAATTTTGTGGCAATTCTCAGGAAATTCTAAGGCAACTCCTTTTTCTGGTCTGTTATTTTAGAGGCTGCTGCAATGGCCTCACAAGGTTTATTGAGATTAGACAAGCTGACTGGTATCTATGATCACAAAGGGATGACAAATTTTTGTATTCTGGAAGCAAAGGGAAAGTGGTCACCCTCCAAGCAAACAGAGTCCAGTGTCTGCACAGCCATGGTGGAAATTCTTTGGCTTCCATTAAAATAATATAAGAATACTCCATAACCTTCAAAGTTTTATCCTTTCTAAACAGGAATAAAAGGAAAAGAACAAACTGCAGCCATCTTCATTTGACATCTGAAAACAGGAAACAAACACGTCTGAAAGCAGAGACATTAACACAGAGACCTGAGCTCCAGGTCTCCAGCTCCAGGTAAGGGCTGTGACAACCAGCCCATCTCAGACACACACAGAAAAGCTCAGAAGATGCCAGCTGAGGCAATCCCAAAGGCAATCCCAGCATTCCTGTTCACTGCAGCAAGCATTGCAGAATTATACCAATGGGTTTTTTCCCCCAGCATCATGACAGACTGTTAGAGCAGAGAGCTTGGCTCACCTTTTCATTGGCACACAGATGAGACCTCACAGGTTGCTTTAATGCATTTTAACATGAGAGCACTGCCTAAAGCCTCACACACACAGATACAACACTCAGTAAGCTGAGCTTGCTATGGTCTACAGCAGATCCCTCTCCTGAAAGTCCTGGAAACCTGTTTCCCTTTATATTAACTCTCTCTGGCACTGACAAAATGGAAGGAAACCAATAGAGAGTTTACTCTCATAAACTGAAAGTAACCCAAATAAAGTCCCCATCTCTACTCTTCCCACTAATCTAGAAAAAAAAACATTTTTAAAATTATTTTTATTTACTTTAATGCTTCAGAATTAGTTGAATTTAATTTTTATTATAACCACCAAAGTTTTGATTTCATTCTTGTTAAGCCAATATGCTGCACAGGAGTCCCAGTACCTTGCCCAAATATTTATTAAGTGCCTACTTATGTTTACCAAAAACAAGTCATCACTTATGATGAGTAGGAATACCCAAATTAGATTGGGTACAGGACCATGGATTCAAGCCAATGAATAAAGCATTTTCCACTGAATCCAAAAAGGAACAGTTCACTACTAATATATGCACAGAGGTTACACAGTTCCACTGGAAAAGCATATTTGCTATTAACTGTCTGACAAGGTTGAGCTTCCTACAGAAAAGCATTATTAATGGCTTCAACATTCCTCCAGGTTTTCTTGTCAGCTTTACTGCAAGTCTTTGCTACTTCTAGAATTACTTCCCATGCCTATCCACACATGCTGTAACTCCACATGGCCCTGGGACATGCTTGGCAAAGATTTATCAGCTTTGTGAAGATGGACTACATCAGCACACAAACAGGAAAGGAGAAAAAGCCAGTCAGGAGGCCTGTGTGAGGTGGGAGACTGATGTTCACCTGTGTGTCACAGGGAGCTTTACCCACGTGCACTGACAGATAAATGTGTAAAATGCATTTAGGCATCAGCCCACTGCAAACCCTCGGGCAGGCAATTACAGGTTACCTGGCTGTAATGATCATCCAACCCCTTCTGTTTCCTCACACACTGTGCTGGAAAAGAAGGGGGCTTTTTGGGGAAAAACTAATCATAAAAACAATGCTGAATGAAGAGCTCAAGATCCAATACACTCAGATTAAAACCAAATTCTTCTTAAGTAAATTAGTTACTGCAATAGAAAAAGTCAGACCAAATTTCAGTGGTCAGGGGCTTACTGAAAAGTTTTGAGGGACGATAGCAGCTTGACAGTTTTAAAGTAAGAGTAGACTTCAGTGAGACTTTACTATTTTGGGGTTTTTAACAGCTAAGCAATGCAGTTGATTCTTTTTGTTTTGTGATCTGACAGAGATGGATAGACAAATATGCAAAAGTAATTTGCTTAAATAGAATTCAATATGCAAAATTTGTATTTACCAACCTCTTATTGGCAATTTCACTCAGCTTCTTTGCTGAATCAGTCTTCTGGTTATTTAATTTCTGGTAATTGCACAGAAAAATAAAAGCTTCTTGGAAGTTATACATTACATCTGTCTATTTCTGTCATTCGAATTTACGCTGGGGTAAGTTCTTGATTTAGTTTGGAGTTACTGTGCCTATCTGTGCATCTAGAAGATGATATATTTCATCTGGAAACATTTACAGAGAAATGTCCTCAACCCATATATAGTACATTAAAAAAACATATAAAAGAGGAATGTATATTGTAATATTGTTACTTCAAATCTGAAGTTACATTAAATCAGATTGTCATCCGATTCCTTTGGGGTAGGTAAATTGTAACATGGAGTTTCTCAAAGATGAAAACCTCTTGGCCCAAGAAGACTAGCATTAAAATAGGCAGTTCCACATGTTTGCAATTTGTGGAGAAAGTGCAGACGGTGACAGAATAGTGTCTGAACTATTTCCCACTCTTTTTTAAATTTGTGTATAGCAAATTGATACACTTCAAGGTAGCAGCTGTTTAACACTGATGCCAAATTATAAAATAGTCTGGTAAAATTCAAATATACCTTGCATATTTTATATTACCAAACCACATTTAGGATCACAGATTAATTTCAACCTCAGTTATGCTACCTAATGCAATTACAGATTTAATTTTTGTGATAAACGAAACTTAAAGCAAGTTCTGCAAATTAGGGATAGCTTACAATTTCCACATATCTAAATTGAACTGTAGCTTTGTGCCAACACAAAAATTTATGACAATTGCTAGGCTGTGAAAACTTCTAGAAATAAGAGGAGACAGAGTGACACCTGCCATATCACCTGACATTATAATTATTCCAAAAACAAATTACTGTATTTTCCCATTGTAAAATGAAAGTTGAAACACTCTATCTTGGATGAATTCTAGTACTGGTGTTCCTATGTGTTTCTTAGGAAAACTGGTGGCAAATACATTAACACCATTCACATA